GAGAGAGAGAGAGAGAGAGAGAGAGAGAGAGAGAGAGAGAGAGGAGATAAAATAGCTCTCGATATGATTCTTATGATATCTCTCAATGAATTGAATTAAATATAAGATTAAACTAATAGATAGCGTAAAGCAGTGGTGAATGGATTGTTGCTATCAGTGCTTACCCTTTGGTTAACTGCATTTTTCTTCGAATTGACACAAAACTCAATAATAGCTGTGAGTATAGCGACGGCGAGTCCGCCCAACAGCACCACAAACACACCGCCGATGTTGTCGACGCCCAGAGCGTTGGCTTTGCCCTCTTTGCTCTTGTCATCCCGAGAGCAGGTAATGCCCGGCCTTTTCCACCACCGGTCGTAAAGCACACGAATCACACCCTTCTCTTGCAAATGCAGAATCGCCAGCGATATCTTGTCCCTCCAGGGAGACCCTAGTGTTGCCAAATACATTCATTGATTCAATGAGGTTCGAGTTTTAGATAATCTAAGCGTTAAATTCAATTAAAAGGGATGAAAGGGTTTTATTCATCGCCAGCGCGAAGATGTGCCACAAAATAATCTCTTTCTGTCTATGCGTTCAGTCTATTATTCTCTCTGTTATTAATGCCCTCAAAGATGTCATCTTTTAATAAAATCTAAAATATTTCTCCGAATTTTAATTACATTTGAAAACAAATGTCAAAAATAAATGCAAAAATACAATTAATTATAATAATAATAAGTTTTGGGCGAATTTTTATCGATTTAAACAAACAAATGGTCTATTCATATGACTCATATGATATGAGTATTATGTAAAGGATATATTTTTACAAAGGCATTAAAACAATACTAAATGTTAACTATAAAACCCAGAATTATAAAGTATCATACTATCATAATCTAGTATATCGTATAGCATTGAATTCGTGGTCAAATTGAATTCTCCTATATATAGAGCTTTACTCGATGTTTATTACCCTCTGGTGTCTAAAATATAAACTTTCAAAATTCTTTTTTATATTACAGAATATTGTATTGAAATGTATTACAGATTCTGTACTTTTGCAACATTTAAGACTAAATTCACTGATTGCATTACCGATAGGAGTGGCGATTCCGTAGCCTTTGCTGTCCAACAGACCGCCAATTTGTGTGAGATTGCAGTTCCGCTGAACCATATAGTCTAACATTGTGCTAATGGACAGTATATTACACACATAATTAGGTACCAAACATATTAAGCCCAGTTGTCTATTATATACGACACATACCTCTCCATAAGGAAAGCATAGTTGCCGTCGACCACCCGTTGGACGCCCTCCTCGTAGGACTTGACAAACACTCCCTGTCTGTTCTCCATAAAGCGCCACATCTTGGAGTAGGTCTCGATGGTTGAGTCCCTGAAGAAGGTCATCGTAGAGCCGCTCTCGAGAGTGCCGTAAGTGATTTTGCTCTGTGAGGCCAAGTCCTCGACACTCTCTATGGGCGTAATCATGCGCTCGACTGTGAGAAAAGCGGCCAAATTGGCCGTATATGACGAGATTAGGATGAGTGTGAAGAACCACCAAATGGCACCGATTATACGCGTGGACGTGGCCTTTGGATTCAGATCACATCCCTATGCGATAACATAATAGTAGCCATAAATTTAAAAATAGCTTTTGGTAACCAATTGGCGATACACTGAACACAATATTGTAAATTAGATTTTCAAACACATCTTGAATTTTAATAAACACATCGTTTTTTGATTAAATATATTTTCGCATTTAATTTTCTCTAAATATATAGAGTATCTCTCTTTGTCTGAAGAGAGTCTGGAAAATAGTATTGAATTGACTTTAAAGTAGACAATAGAGTACAGTATAATGAGCCGGTTATTGATGTGTGTAAACTGATCAATTAGTTACAGTTTTAATTTTGTTTTTGTAACTTTGTTAAATTTATTTTATACTGAATTTACAATATTATAAACACCAAACATGTACTCTTATGCTTCTAACCTAACTTACACTACAGTATAATTTTATTATAAATTTAATCAAACTCCAATATACAGGTATGCCTTTATTTCAATTACCTAGAGAATTTCAAGATCGTGTAGCGTTTCATTATAAAATGGTTATTTATTAACTAATACTGTGTCGGATAATCAGGTTTATTAAATAAATTTAGTCAGTTTACTAATAAACAGAATATTAAGAGATTTTATATTAAAACATTTAATAAGTAATAAGAATTTAATATCTAAATACCTGATGCATAAGCGTTACAATTGTGAACCAAAAGCTATATATTTGGGAAGAAAAACACATTTTGAAAATTAATCAAAGAGTTTCTCACAGAAAGGCAAAGAATGAAAGCGACATAATCTGACGGAATAGCTGTCAATAACGACACAAACCTATTGGCCATTGAAAACTGATTCTCCATAATAT